AAGTAGTAGTACTTTTCTCTTCTTATAGCGCAAAGCGTTCGTACGCTACTTGCGCTAAGAGTGTACAGAGAAAGGTTCCTCCCTTCCTAGCGTCTGTCGTACGACTCACTAGCGTAGCCTCTTACAGTAAGAAATAAAAAGTAAGATTAAAAAAGTATAATTAAGATTAGAGATTCTAGCAATGCAGCTTCTTGCTATGCTAAGGACGTTACTACTAAGGCTACTAAGAAGATTGCTAAGCGCGTGCTCTAGCGTACCTTAAACAAGACACTTACAAAGACAACTACTAAAGACGTGCACACGCTTACATGCTTACAGCACAAAGCGTTAGTAGCTTGCACATAGATCAAGGCTATTAATTCGGGTGGAACCTAGATAGCTATCTAAGTCATTGTTCCTATGCTCTCTCTCTTAAACTGCCTTACTCCGACAACAGCCATTTCGTTTTCTCCTCAAACTCGTCGCCAAACTGCAATGTCTCTAGCCAGCTTTCCGGAATCTTCCCCTTGCCATCTCTCGCCCCCAAAGCCCCTCCAGCAATCGCACCATTCGTATCCGCGTCCCCACCCAGCCTTACAACATCGACCAACACGTCCTTGAAAGACCTCGGGTCCAACAATGCAGCAACAGCCAGCGTTAGCCCGTTGAGCACGTATCCCGTCGTTATGTCTGACCCCGCGCTCTTTGGTCCCCGGTCTGCAAGTTTTGCCAGATCGAGCGTCTCGCCCCGGGATATGGCAGCCTCGACATGTGTCTGGCCCTGCTCTTGGGTGACCAATCTGCCTTGTTCCACGGCCTCTCTCACCTTCTTGCCTTGAATCATCGCTGCGACTATCTCGTTGTAGGCAGCGCACGAGACGGTGCAGCGGGTATCGTTATGGGTAATGGCACTGATGGCCATGCTCTCCCGCACTCTCACTTCCTTGATATCGGAGAAGAGCGCGGTGGGTATACAGCGCATCAGGCTTCCATTGCCGGCGCTTCCGGGGCCAGCACCGCTCCTTGTTGCATCTCCCGTGCTGTCGTAGTTTGACAGCCCAGTTTGAGTCGCGCATCCAATGTCAACCGGCATGCTTCCTGGCTCTCTGTCAGGCCAATCGCCAGTCAGCCATGCGAGGCTGTAGTCGGCTGCAGCCTTGACCACGTCGAACTCGGTCCCTTCTCGCCCAGCTCTTGTTTCGCAATTTTTTCGGCGATCCGAGTACGCCAACAAGACGGCTCGCGTCAAATCCGTGTCATCGGTTGCATGTCCGGGAGGCCAGGAGAAGGAGCCACCTCCGACAATCTCCTGCAGACCATCTGGGTACTTTTGCTTGATGGTGGAATGATATTCAAACTCGAGGGTTGCGCCGAGAGAGTCGCCAGCATGGACACCCAGAATGGCGCCTAGGCTTCTGGATAGGCGAGTGTCGTGGTTGCTCATGGTGAATCTCGTGTTGTGGGTACAGACTCGATGGGGAAGCGGATGCGGTTCGCTTTTGTAGTCGCTGAAAGGCGCGTGTCCAAGGCTGCAGCCTAGAATCAGGTGCGCTAGAGCATCGAACCAATCTCGTGTCATAAGCGCAGCATAAACAGCTTAGCTTAGGTAAATAGGTAAGCTAAGTGGTATAGATTTGCCGGCAATTTTATATTTCTTGCTTTAAGAGTAACGCTAATCTCACGTTAGTGATACTGCCTGGAGCCTAAATCTTTGTCTTGCGAGATCCTTCGAACTCTCTATATCAACAACCATCACTTAGTGAACGTGAGTGTCGTCCAGCGCTTCTGCCGCCTCTCGCACAGCATCTTCGTCCTCTTCATCGCTATACACCCCAAGCGCCGCTCGAAATGCCTCTCGGTCCCAGTTCCGTCCTTCCCCATCTCCCGGCCACCCAGCTCTTCTCATCTTACGCACAAGCCCCTTGAACTCTTCGTCCGCGTCATCAAAGTCACAGTCCATTGGTACCGCCTCAACGACATCTGTTTGGAGGCCGATCCAGCGAAGCTCGTGGAACCGCTGTTTGCAGAGCGCAAAGAATTCGCGTGGGTGATAAACATTGAAACCCTCCCGCCAACGCTCGGCTTCGTTGCCAGCGTAGTGCTCTTGCACCACAGCGTTGAGCTCTGGTGCTGGCTCGTCGTGCTGACCGTTAGGATCCCCCCAGTAGATGTAGCCATCGGCCGTGTTGATGACGAGATTGTAGCCGTTACGCCCGTTGCTGTTGCCGAAGGAGATGCATGACGACGGTAAGGGATCGCATATGGGCTCCACGTAGTATTCGAGATCTCCATCGCGGATCCGCTTCTGTATCTCTTCGCTGCGGTAATCCTGGATCCGTGTGTTCACCATGATGACGTGCTTGCCATAGGCTTTGTCTGACTCAACAAAGTCTACAAAGGGCATACGGCGAAGCAAGTCGATGACTGCATCAGTCTTGTGCAGATTGGCCATGGTGAATTGTGTGATCGATGGCCAGCCATTGCTGGGCGCTTCCGCGACGACCGAATTATCCCAGAATACTCGATTGCAAAACTCGTAGTAGTTCGTCAACAGTGTGATAAACTCGGCTTGATCAAAGGCCATGGTAGGGTAAAGTGGAGAAGGAAACTAATTGAACACGTTGGAGCGTGGGAAGGGTTGATAATTTATGTTGACGGTTAAATGGGGTCTTACAAGGTTGTTACCCGCCAACACCAACGGACCCTGCCGCCCAGGGGAGTAAGCCATACAATCTCGCTACGAATGCGTCCACATCTCGGCGCGGTACAAGGAAAAAGATGTACCGCGTCGTTACGAAGCAAGTACTCCCAGCGCGTCAGGAACTTTGCACGCCGAAACGTCTGCCACATCAGCAAGGAAGGCTTCCTTCCCACCTTCAAGGACGCGCTGTTCGCCGTGGTTACAGAGCAGAATCTTTGAATGGTCTTTGGAGCAGCAGACCTAGTTCTCATCCACGCGCAGGCTGTGTTGGATCGCCTTGAAGTGCGGCTGCGTGCCCCGCCAGAACCCCTCCTCCTAAGAACACCGTGGCAGTCTAAGACTTCAAGCAATACTCATGGGTGTGGATCTCTGTCAAGAATTGTACATGATTTCTTTACTCGTTCGCCTGTTACAGCATTGGCTGGCTTCTCTCAGCTCATGACGGGTGGTGGACTGATGCTGCATCGAAACGCGCTCTAAGCCGCGCAGATCCACGAGCTCGTAGAACAAGTCCGCAGCGATACCCAAGCGAAAATCGCAAAAGCACAAGCGGAATTGGCAAGGTGACACTATGGGGTATAGGACTGCTGCAGCGCGGGAAGCAGCTAAGGCTTCTGCAGGACCGCAGCAATCTAAGAGAGCTCGTGATCACGAACCAGCCCAACCAGCTCTACAGCGCTGTTGAGAATGCAGCGGGACTGACTACCACGTACGGACGTGCAAACGGAGGAAGAGGTATTTCTTATGTCAGATGCAAGCGCGACGTAAACAAGCTGTTTGTTCGATAGGAACGACATTGACGATGCGTCACATGAGTTGGTCGTGCGACATGAGCTTCACTGTGAGAGTACGGGAGTATGATACTCCGGACCTGGTATCAACAACCGTTCTGCTTAGATAAACGTTGTTGATGGGCAGCTGATCATTCCATCAGATACAACGATATGTTTAGCAAGCCGCGCGTTCTTTATTGCGCAATATGTCTTCATAAACGTGAAGAACTTCAGCATCCGAGGGCTGTGATATTGTTCTTGACCTGGAGGCGCACACGCGACTTCTGCATCTGGGAGATCAAGGAAACTCGACCGTGAAGCTATTTTCATTGAGCGATCGAGTCACATTCTAGTGGAACGATTGACGCGCCCCAGCTCATCTGGCTTCGGTCTCCCCGTGATCAAAGGTGAAAATGTCTCTATCAATCGGTACCGCTTGTCCTCCAGCTATGGCAAAGGTGACGGCGTGTAGCTTTCTACTGCCACAATGGTATCATCAAAACTTCCTTCGGCGCAGATTCGACGACGGCATCACTATCTATGGCCATTGCTCAGAATACTCTGACGGTACGAAGGATACCATTATTCGTAATCGTACACTGCTACCAGACGTTGCGCATACTGCAAAGATAGGCACTCACGGAAATCCTCAGTAGCCCGAACCGTTTTACAACATCCAAATAAGCAAAGTCGATATCTTACATCATGGCAAACATCAGCCGTGGTATAAAGGTTGCATTTTCATCGATGCAGCTGACGGGAAACTCGTCCAGGACCTCCTTGTTGAATGTATTCACGTTGAGAGGATATGTACGCCATGCAACGATGTTCATGGCATGAATGAATCCTGTACCAGGACGTATCGCGATTTCGTTACCCAGAATCTGACTGCGAACATCGAGGGCGGTGGTGGCGTTTATGGGTCAAGTTCAGGAGGATACGACTCCTTTGGCCAGGAAACCCTGCTTTATTGGATTACCGACCAGTAGTTAGTCCATATTTGACGGTCTGTTGCCACTGATGTCCTAAGAAGCCATGATTACCTCGTGATACGAGGTCATGTAGCTGTGGTTCGTACAAGTTCGCACAAGTTCGTACATGTAAACTAATGCTGGATTGTTCGCGTTGACAAGCACTAACAAGCTAGATTACTAAAAATTATACCTGACCGCTATCGAGACTCTTCCATGACAGAATCGACTGCATCTTCAAAACTATTTTTTGGTAATCCCAACTTCTCGTTGGAAAAATCCTTGTTCCTCCAATCTACAAGACCCCATTTCCCGAGCGCAGTTGCCATACTCAGATCCGCAATGCCCATCGAATTACCCTTGATGCACCGCGTATGGCCTCTAATTTGTAAGTCCTGAGACGTGGTATGTTCGACTGTCCATTTCTGGCCATCAAGCTTCTCGATAGCCGCGAGCATATCGCGCTGAGTCATGTGGAAAGACGCGATGAAGACGTATTGGTTCTTCGTCTCTTCAAAGTTTTCGATGCATCCGCGGATGGCTTTGGCAATTGTCCGCATCCGGCTGAGAGAGCACATGGTTGTGCCGTCGTCGATAAGCGTTGCGGTCCTGGTCTTGAAGTCGAATCCAAAGAAGCCGTGTCTCAGACCCCATTCGGTAAACCCACCAGTGATAAGTGCCGTCCAGATCAGGCTGCTTTCTTCCTCCTTGGACTGCAAGTATCACACCAGAGCGGCTTTGTACTGCGTGCTGTAAAGATTGATCTCGTTGGTTTTGAAATCCTGGGTATCGGTGCCGTATTCGGCAGGGAATAATATCTTGACACTGGTTGCGAGAGCTGCATCGACGAAAACCTGCTGGTGTGGTGCGCCAGATAGGCCCACGTTGCTAATGACCACGTCCTGGTCCTTCATGGCGCTCTCGATGGCCTCTAGGTCCGCGTAGTCGACTTTGAATACGTTTCTGACGCCAGCTGGAAATGTCGCGCTGGAATCTTTCCGGCTCATGACACTTAGTTCGTATGTTGAGTTGAGGGACTCGTCTAGAAGTTCGACGCCGAGGTCACCACCTGCCTGTGTTCCTCATTCATTAGCAATTCACGACCTGGTAGGTTGTTCATGTATAGCCTTTTGGCAGGGGATTTGTAAGAAATGCGGTTTCACCTACCCCGATGAGCAAGACTTTCTTGTATGTAGATATATTGGGTGAAAGATGACTATCAATAGGCCTGTATCTTTGGATGTGACGAATTGAAAAGTAACTAAGATTTTCAGAACGAGACGCAGTGGATGAGAGATGCGGTCTAGTCATAGCCAAACGATCACACGATACTTGTACACGCATCCATTGTGCTTCTGCCTCAGAACTACAGTCCTACATCGACATTATGAATTAGTCGCATTAGTCAGTATGATTATGAATGACGGACGAGCAAATGAGATGACTTAGCTTCACGATAGTCGGCCCGAGAAAAATAAGACTAAATCTTGTAACGCACTTGCGAATTTATGGCATCTTGCCAAGCCTTACAATAGCGATAACCAATCTACGAAACTACAACACAAGGTTGAATAATGCCATAGGCTGCAGCAAACTAAGCCCTTCCGCAGTACATTGCGAGTAATTGTCTTGAATTAGCTATCTACCAAGACCGGACCAGTATTTCGTCCGAGTTACACCACGGTGTAGTGCTATGGCATGAGGAACTTCTTACAAACCGTACTATGGAGGTTCTAACACATGGTGATCAACTTGGCAGACAAGAGCGTGTCATGATAGTGGTAGGTCATCGAAATGTTGGTAATGGTCGTGTTATCTGGCAAGGCAGGCATTTAAAAAGCGCAACATTCCTAGTCTCACAACAATCGATACATCCATCCATACCCTCCCCTTGGGACATCCGCGGAATGAATCTACTCAGATCACCAAAAAGGTCATTGCTCGATCAAGATGGCGCGGTTCTACCTATTTCGACTACGGGAAGCACTGTGACAGCCGATGAATGGATCTCAGCCATCAACTTCATCAACCGAGTCAATTTCCACTTTGAAAGCAACGACCAAGAGCAAATGACAAACGCATTCAGTCCCAACGCCAAGGTACACTTCCCTGGCATAAGCGTTCGCGGAGAAGAGGAAATAAGGGCCCTGTTTCGGGACAAATACAGCGTTATGATCCCGGGTGTGAAGCGCTATCCAACAAATCATATCGTTGATCGCGACGGAGAGACCGGCGGCGTGATTGTGCGCTATCAAAACCAGTTGGTTCGCTACGCCTGGCCGAAGGAAGTCAGCGCCCCTCGTGGACCTCGTGTCGCAAAGGTGCTCGTGACATCGGAGGGGCTGCCGCGTATCTGGCAGTGCTCGACAATCATGGATCGACTGGAGAAAAGGGGAGGCGAGTGGTGTATTTATGAGCGATACGTAGGAGACCACATTGTCGATGAGACATTGAATCCGGATAAGCAGCCGTGTTAGCGTTACTCGCCGCTCTATTTGTATTTGTGAGACGGTATACTTCGCTCTTCACATGCTATACTATATGTATACCTGCTATGCATGTAACTCTAGTGCCCTCTGTTCTATACCATAATATTATTCTTTTCTTTCTATCGTTCGCTCACAACACCAGTGACGAGACAACTACCATGGCGTCTACAACGACGTCATCATAGTGGGGCCGGGTCTGATGAGACATATCCAAACGGTCATGGTTGTGCGAAAGGATGTAGAAGACTTGTTTTCGTATTCATTATATGCTGCTGCCTCTTCGCTCGTCGTTTTAGTGCTTCTACCCCGCGCGCACTATGGTAGTGTACCTCGGAAGGACGGCAGGCTTCCGAAGACCAGTACTTGCTACATCCGCGACGACGACGATGTCTTACTACGAAAGGTAAGCTTTGGCACCGCTCGGGAGATGCCAAGCATCGACCTCGTTTCGGTATTGTATTGCTTCGTGTCTTCCTCACCACCACGATATCGATACCTTTGATCCGCACTTCCCTCCAATACTACCCCAACTCCTACGTCTACTACTCCCACAAGTCGATACCATGGGTGTCATGAGCGTGACCTCGGAGACCATCTTCAACTACCCACCAGACGTGATTTACGACTTCGTAGGCAACCCGGTGAACTGGGGCCGCACATACAAAGGCAGCGCTGGCCTTCCATCCGATGCCAAGAAACTCGATCTCCCACTCAAGGTGGGCGATGTCTGGACGGAAAAGGTGGCCTTGGCGGAAAACACATATCATGCAAAGTGGGTGTTGGAGATTGCAGACCGTGGCCGCAAGTTCGCGTTTCGGCAGGTAAGTACAAGTCATGAGTGTGGAACATGACCAACCAACGCGCTGGGCTCAATACGCTTACTCTTCTCACGGTAGGTGAACAAGATTGCCGAAAATGTTGATGGGTCAGGCGGCGTGGAGGGCTACTGTTGGATCACGTATACGTTCAGGGAAGCCGGATGTGGATTGACGTTGTTCACGAGGAATCTGACCTGCGAGCTCGAGAAGGGTGTGGAGGTGCCAGAGGACCTTTGGGTGGCCATGTCGAGGCCAAGTGGAATCGACAAGTATCATGATGCTACTGCGAAGCTGCTTGACGAGGAGTCTGCGGAACACAAAATCCTGAAATCATGAGTGTCAGAACAGACCGACGTCTCTGAAACCAACATGCTGCTTCTGTGCGCCCATTCGAAGCTCCGTGCGTTACGTAGCATATATTGCAACTACAAGAAGCTTCCGCTTGAGAAGCGATCGCCAAAACCTTTCGACTTGCTGAGCATCTCCCTCTTCTGCTTATGATTCAGGTTCCCGCTCACAGCCATGTCCTTCTCGTAATCAAACGCGCGCTTGCTCGGATCGTCTTCCTTCTCTTTACCCGTACCCTTGTCCTGATGCTGCTCAACTAGACTCTTGCCTCGAGTCGCCTCGATCTTTTCGCGCATCTTGCGCGCCCTCCTCTCCTCTTCCTTAGTGCGCTTCGACTCGGATGTCGCAGGCGCAGCGTTTGTAGGTGCGGCAATGCCCAAGGCCTCGTCTTGCAGTCGCTTGAGCTTCTGCTCCGGTGTCTCGGTCCATGCGCTGCTCATGCCGCCTGTGTTGCCTGCGCCCTTTCCGGAGTTGAATTTGCGCGCGCGCATTTTGGTTGGGTCCATCCGCGCGGCGAGGTCGTCTTGTGTGGGTGGTAGTGTCATCCACTCGTCTCGTTGTGCCTTCTTCGGAGCGTCTGTGAATTGTGGCTCGCTATCAAATGCGGACGTCGCCATGTGGTTGTCAAAGCCTGAGGACATGCCCCCAGCTGGAGGTGGGGCGGGACCAAAGTCGTCATCGCTGCTGTCCGAATCTGAGTCGCTGTCTGCAGGATTGGGTGGTAGTTCGTCGAGAGGCGCTGGTGGTGGTGCGGGCCCTACCACGCGCTTTGGAGCTGGCGGAGGCGCGGGACCGACGTCGCTGTCTGCGCTGCTGGACCGTGATGGTGATGGCGATGGCCCACGTGGTGGCAGCGAGGGCCCCGATGTACGCGGTGGTGAGGATGCGGAAGGCGGAGGTGCTGGGCCGATAACTCGTCTGCGCTTGTCTGTGGATTCTGGGCTTGATGGTCGATGGTCGTCGTCATCGCGACTGCGCTTCGACGGGTGCGGAGGCATTGCGGGTCCTATTGAAGGCATTGTGGGCTGTGGATTCGAGGTTGTTGGGCTGTACGCGGCGCGTTTGGCTGTCGCGTGGAAGTGACGTTCGGCAGGAGCTTGGACCTTCACCCAACGTTGCGGCAGCAGCGGCGATCTGCGAACTGCGCCTCGAGCTCCACCGACGCGCCATCCTTGCCAACCCTCGTGGGCGACATTCACAACCTCGACTGACGTCTGTATCCGTGGCATACACGCTCGGTTGCCGCTCTCGCCGCTATACCGCTTTCTCATCCTCCTTCCCCGTAGGCCACATCACCCAGTGTCACGAACCACGACCGAGACCCCCGCGTCGCCTACGGTCAACGCCTGCGAATCACGAAGCTATACCACGGAAAGAGTTGATGTGCGCCTGAAGCAATGCTTTGCGCAGAACGAGGCAGATGAGCTCAGATTCGGGAGAGAGCCACTCCAGCGCTCACAACGACCATGGAGATGAGATAGACATGGGTAAAGGCGCCATGGGCGCTTCTGACTTGGGGGACAATGACGACGCTCAGTCGCTAGACAATGGCCCCGAGAGCTTGACCTTTGTCCGGACACGGAGCAGGAATACACACGAAGAGGCGCAAGAATTGGCTTCGGAGCTGTCTGTACGGCCCAGACTGACAGTCGAGGAAAGCCCTGCGTCGACGGATATACCAGACGATACGCCTTCGGTGCAAGTATGTTGTCTTCTGGAACGACATGGAAGTCCTCTGACCAAGACAGGGTTCCGGCATATCCTCACCAACCAGCAGCGTCCCAGTATCGCACAACTCGCTCCGCGCCCACCGTCCGACTTCATTACAGCCCTTTGAGCGTCGCTTCTCCTCACGCCTGTCGCCCTCGCCATTGTCGTCCCCGGCTCGTGGTCAGTCACCCGCGTTCCTTTCGCCGCATTCGCGGCAATCTTCCGTGTCGAGTAATGCCGCCTTCCACCAACTGTCAGATGATGGGTCCGAAACCCCCCAGGCCCCATGGGAGGTCGTGCGATGGACCAAGCTGAAGAAGATAACTACCCAGGTCTTCTCCGAGATCGGCAAGCGCAACTTCGGCCGGCCAACGTGTCTGAATGTCACGGTATCGCTGGCAATAGGCACGTCGAAAGGTTTCATCCTCATCTTCGACTATCAGCAGGTCCTCAAATCCATCATTGGACCGGGCACCAAGGCCGTGGAATGCGGCTCTATCACATCGCTAGCCATTGCCGCTGATCATTCGACTATCGCTGGAGGGCATGCAACAGGTCACATCTTCACTTGGGAGTTGGCGAAACCAGCCAAGCCATTCCTTCACATTCCGCCCCTCGAAAGGGCCAACCTAGAGGATCACA